GGCGGTGAGCCCGTTCCGCGGCCTCCTGGGTCACGGGACGGGTCTCTTGCACAGACCTCCGCTCCTTTACCGAAGGCCGCGCTCTGAGTGCGGGAGCGAGGAGGGTTCTTCCCGTGTGCCTATCCTGAGAGCAGTTCCCCCTGCGGCACACCCCGGGGGTACTGTACTAAGGTCTCGTACCTGATCCTTTCTTCACGTTCCAGCCCTACGCAGAGTGTGAGAGGGGCACGATGTCAGAACTGAAAGGCACATCTTGCTTTAGGTGTTGTAAATTTTTTTTGCATAAAAGCGTTGTTTATTATCCAAGTGGCATTTTTGGTCAATTGCAGTTAGCAAATACTTCTGATTTGTGATGAAAAGCCATGTGAAATATGGAAAATAGCTAAAAGCACTTCTTTTCAGTGTCTGTGAAATGCTGCTCTCTGTGCTTTCTTACAGCTAAGACGGCTGCCTTGTGCAGCACAGAACACAGTGGATTGGTTTGTCTGTGGAACAAAGCCTGCGCTGTGCTGCTGCTGTTGTGCTGTCCAGCATTAGCAGAGTCCTCTCGTGGAGCCCAGCCAGTTCTGCTGAGCTTCACAAGGGCCGTCTCGAGGACTTAGGTTTTGTTCAGGGCACTCAGATGTAATATAGCAAAACAAATGCTCCTTGCTGAGGCCTTTTCTTTTTCCTCTCTGCACTTCTCTTCCTCTTTTCTTTGTTTTGTTCTGTGTTGTTTTGTTGGGAGCTTGTTCACCCAGCACTGCAGCAACAGCCAGCCGTTGTTGATACTGAGGTACCTCTGTCAGTCCACTCACTGGCTGCTCTTCTTAATCTGGCAGATCTCTGCGTCTCAATTAATCTCTTTTTTTTTTTTTTAATTGAACTGGGTTAGTTATGTTACTCTTAACTGTTTGTGTTCACGTTGTGTTGGAATACAGACTTAGTCTAATCACTTGGCAGGTACTTAATGAAGCGATATTCAGACTTGGCTCTAAACACAGTGGCTGCATTGCATGGAGGTGCAAATAAGCAACAAACAAATGTAGATACCTGAAGATACAGAGGATTTCTGAAACGTGCAGGACGTGACAGCTAAACTTGACTTTCCTGCAGATTGATAGGCAGCAGTTTGAAGAGACTGTCCGGACGCTGAATAACCTCTATGCAGAAGCTGAAAAACTTGGGGGCCAGTCTTACCTGGAGGGGTGCCTCGCCTGCCTGACTGCCTACACCATCTTCTTGTGCATGGAGACACATTACGAAAAGGTGCACCTCTCTTGTTTGCTTTGTTCTTGGAAGGCAGAAAATCTCACAGACATCAGTCAAACACTTATTTCTTGGTAGGTTTTGTGTAACTTGCACCGTTGTTGGACAAGGTCCACACAGCATCTGGATCATACTCCAGAGTCACTTCACATGTGTATCATTGTTTGTATGAGTCATGTTGGGTAACGGTTGCTTGCGCTTCAGCGGGACCACACGAGTTCTGGCTCTGCTTGTGAGCTAGGGTCTTCTAATGTTGCTATGGCTGTGATATTGCTGAGGCTCCAAACCCAAGGTAGGGAAACCTGATGAAGGAGCTTTGACTTCTGTGCTGCTCTATTGCCAGGTTCTAAAGAAAATTGCCAAGTTCATTCAGGAACAGAATGAGAAGATTTATGCTCCTCAGGGCCTCCTTCTGACAGACCCCATCGAAAGAGGACTAAGAGTTGTATCCTTCTGTGGTTTCTTGATTGTCTCCTGGTTTGTCCATCTGTGATGTGCATGCTAGCTGTTTATCTCAGCCTGACACCCACTGGTCGTGCTTGATCTGTGTTATGACAGAACACATGATTAGGCTTGTTGCTCTCCATTGTGCACTGTTGTCTGGTCAGGTTTTGGTACATTAATGTTTGTCACGTTGAAAGACAATGAAGATGCAGAATTGGAATCCATCATTTGAGAGTTCCTTGGAAATTCAGGATGTATGAATGGAGCACTTCTCATGCTTCTCCTCTATTTCAGTAGACCTGTAAAGTTATGGTTTGTCTGACTGGAAAAAAGTGACACTCACAGGGATAGAAATTGATGATGTGAAAGCCAGAAATGGCTGTTGTTTAATTTGCAACCCTCAGCTCGAGGTCTGGTGAAGATTTCACCCTGTGATATCCCTGTGAGTTGATACCAGCCTAGCATGTGCTTTTGGTTCTAGCATGGCTTTTTTGAACAGATCTGGCCTGACAGGGTATCTCTTTTGTGTACTGCTACATTTGTACTGCTCAAACTAGCGTTGAAACTGCAGGTATGAAGCAAAGCTATCAAAGGTTCTAATATCTTAATGGTTTTTCACCTTTTTTGTTATTTCATAGTTTTTTTTAGTATTTTTCCGTAACAGATTTTCTGTGCAGATTGAAATTACCATTTATGAAGACAGAGGTATGACCAGTGGAAGATAAAACTGTGGAGTCTCAGGTACCTGCCAACCTTGTCCTAGATCAATCTCAACCTGTTTTCTATGCTACAAGGGATAGGTTCTGTCATACTGAGACAGAATATTTATCAGAGTGGTTCACATCGAAGGCTGTTCCCATAAACCTTGTCTGGACTAGATTTTCTGAGTAAGCACAAGTATTAGTACTTGGCATTATGCCACTGAATTTTATTACAGATCAGATGATACCAGATTGACCTCTAGTGAAACTCAGGTCTTGATTGTGTAAATATGTATACAACTAACTTGTGCTGTGCTACATCCAAAATTGTTCTCTGTTCTGTAGACAGAAGACTCTTTCTTATTCTCATGAAGTGTTTCTGTCCTGAAGTTCTGGCAGGCAGACTTAAGACTAACCCATAAATATAGACTTCAACATAGGTTGCTATTTAAATGGGTATTTTGGATTTCCAAACAGTTCCTGTAACAATAGCAGGTGAGAAGTATTCAAGGAAAACTTTTGCAGATGCTGCCCTAGCACCTGCTCTTCCTGTAGTGCCATGAAAGGTGCATCTTTTCCTTTCAAGTATTTCCTGTGCTACCTGAGACCAGGGTCTATTTTAAAAGCTTCCATGTTTCAAGCACTTGTGAAATCAAGGTCGTAACCACAGCCCGTTAAGGATCCCCTTGTATTTTGCCCAGAAGTCAATGCTATTAGCCCCAGAATCCTGAAGTGTAATTGTACGTGGAGCCAAGAAGGCAGAAGGTATAGAAGATTCCCCTCTGTGCACTGTTGCACAGCAGCTTGCCTGTTCCAGAAGGGACTGGGCAGTGGCCTGCTGCTGCCTGGGTGATGCTTTGGCGAAGCAAAGAAGGGAAGGTCTTTATTTCCTGTTAGACAGATGAAGCCCAGAGCGTTGGCTTCTCTTCCTGCCTCTGTGACCACAGCACGTGGTAACCCTGCCTCTCCTGCTACATACCTCCTCAGTTAACAACATGCAGCTATGTAAAGGTTTGTGTAGGGCTTGGCTGGTTGTATTTAGCAAGTTTCTAATAACATGAAACTTCTTTTCTAGCAGATAGCTCACAGTGGACTTGCTGTATGAAAGTTCCCCTACCTCCTACTTTAGAGCATCATTCCTCTCTCTGCTGCCAGATCCACAGTGCCATCTACTACAAGGACTAACTTCCTAAAAACTGCTCCACATGGGGTGACGTAGCTGTCCAGCATCCATTTTGTGGCAAACTTTTAAGCAATGAGATCACTTTTTAGGTTGTTTTGGTTTGTTTGTTTTGTTTTGTTTTGTTTTTTTTCTCCAAAGGAAGAGCAGAAGTGGTAAAGCTACGTACTCTTCGAAAGAAACAGGGCACTCAGCCCAACAGAAGTCTAGTTTTAGTCACAGAATTGCAGTGCTGTTCCTCCCTAGTTCTTAAGCCTTTGTGTATATCAGTCACGCTTCGGAAGCTGCAAGTCAGAGTGGGGTATTTTCCAGAATCGAGGCCTTCCCTCCAGTTCAGTGCTGGAGTGAGGGAATCCACAGTGCCTCTGCCTGGCGAGAAGTGACTCCAGGCAACGAGCATGTTTCCTGTGCTGATTCTCATGGAAAACCAGAAGGCAAAGTGTTAATAGTTTTAGTGTCTTGGTTGTCCCTAGAAGGGGAGGAATAGCCAGACTTTAATACTGGTGTTGTTTCTACGACTGTATCTGTGCTGTTATTGCATCTATCGATGCTCACCAGAAGAGGGGGTCTATTCATTCGTCAAGCAGTAAACACAATAAAATGGATGCTGAACCAATAAATACAACAATTCCTGCCCTACTCAGATTAATATGTGAAGTGTAGAACTGTTTCTTTATGGATTTATTATATATAATTTATAGGAAAACATTGATTTGACAAACTGTTAGGTGTTGTGTAAGATGGCTTCTTAATTCTGTCTGCTGGCACACTGTTGAAGAGTAGAACTGCATTATTTAGTATCCCCCCACGCATCAACATTCCTCAGCAATACCTGGAAAAAGTAAAGTTATTGGAAACCAAGCTGGCTTAATATTTTTCTCTTCTATCCTTTATCCCTTATCAAAGCAAGGATGTCCTGGTTTAGGTTCTGAGCATCACTGTCCAATTGTAGAAGGAATTGAAGAATTTAGAAGAGAAGTCTTACACAGAACAGATGGAGTGTTTGTCTTTCGGTGGTGCTGTAGGTGCTAATACTGGATCTGAAATTCCAGGCTTACTACTCAGACACTGATTGGGATTTTTTTTGGTTTTTTTGAGATTTGTTTAATATTTTAATTGTACAAAACTTGTTTTTTCTAAACTGTAACGGTGTTTGCCTTTCACATGTTGCAATATTGGCATAAGTACTAATGGATTAGTAAATTTTTTCTTAAGCCGTGTCTGTCCTATCTGCCAGCACCACTTCGTGTTCAGCGGCGCCCCCGGTGGGGTTTGCTCCTGCAGCAGCGGGCTTTGGGCTGGGGACAGGGAGAGCGAGCGCCCTTCACC